ACATTCGCGCAGAATAACACGAGTTGCATACATTTCAAATGGGACACGGTGCATCCTTCCGCCTTGCCTTTCCGCTCTGCCTCGTCGCCCTCTTAACCGTTTTCTCAACACCTCGTTCCTCGTTACCTATCATTAGAATAATGACAAATAACATTGATTTGAGAGAGCGAGAAAGAGAGAGAGAGAGAGAGAGAGAGAGAGAGAGAGAAAGAGAGAGAGAGAGACAGAGAAAGACGGAACAAAGTTTAACAACAACAATGCGATCCTAAGAATAACAACACACAATCCAAGTAATCCTGCGTGTAAATTTTTACTACGCTAATTTTTTTTTATACGCGCTTCGATATATCAAGCTCATCTCCGTGACTGTTTGCTTCAATCCTTGTGCGCGATCCAAAAGCCGCGTGACGCGCGCGGGGAGTAAGGGTCGCAATTAGTAAACGACCTCGTATCTTTAAGCGCGCCGCATTCTGCGGATGCAGTCAAACGCAAAGCGCATGCATTCTTAACCCTCTCCGGGATGAGGGCGAAGCGCCGGTACATAACGGAGAGCGATAAATAAAGGAGGAAAGAGCGAATTTACGGCAACGCTGGCTACCATCGCCCCACGAAGAGCTTCCTTCTTCCTTTCTCGAGATTTGCGAATTATGCATTATGCCGAAGGGAATGCATTCTCGCGAATTGACATGAGCGCAAGAAGAGAGCCGATATCGTGCAACAGGGGTGACCCGAAATTTCGAAACTCAAACGAGTCGAAGAGATTTCGGTGTTCTTTCGCGTTTTCCACAAAATATAATTGTCAAATACAATTGAAATTAAATTAAAGTCAAAGAGAGAGAGAGAGAGAGAGAGAGAGAGAGAGAGAGAGAGAGAGAGAGAGAGAACATTTCGTAGTATAGAAATTTAACGAAAAAGATTATAGCCGTTGATTATAACCGGAACGTAAAATTTATTAAAAGAGAAAAAAAAAGCAAGAAAGAAAAAAGAATTACTCGTTCCGAAAGAAAGTTTTACGAGTGTGTGCTGGCATTCTTCCTGACCAGAATGACCATTCTGATACATAAATACCGTTTTTTCCCGCGCGGAGATAGTGACCAAATGCACGGCGCAGGAACAGGCGCGCCGATCGAAGATTTTTACGAGGATACGCACTGCCGAGCAACCGCCCTGTTTTATCATTTCAGGTACAGAAACATGGCACAGGCAACGCATGCGATTTCTCGCGTTAACCACGCTTTACAATTTCCGGCAAGAAGTTTTTTTTGCGACTCACCTTAGCTGTCCGCTTATCGGACCGTTGTTGCCATCACGACTCTTGGGAGGTCCGACGACCTCGGTGTCGATGTTTCGTCATCCGAGCATGTGTTACGATATCGCGTCTCGACTAGCTACAGCGAGATGAACCGAAGCTGAGGCGACGCCTCCGCCATGCATTGATTTCACTATGCGAATTACCATTGGCTATCGCGCGCGCAGTGTCGCATGACCACCAAGAGGAAAGCGAAAATCGAAAGAGATTGAGAAAAATTTTGAACTCTCTCTCTCTCTCTCTCTCTCTCTTCCTCTCTTCAAAATTTAAAGATGTAAAAATTTCTCTTTTATATCGAGAAATGTCTGCTTTCCGTCCATTTCCCGGTTGACGATGAAATCGAACATCGAAAGACTTTATTTCTTAGGACTGAGGATTGCCGATAAATTAATTGCTTTTTTCAACTATACAAGAGAGAGAGAGAGAGAGAGAGATAGTAGCAAAGTTTCAAATCACGAGGAATCCTTGATCTACAAATTCCTCCGTACGCCATATTCAACACTCGGATATCTGTGTCAAGTATGTTTTACTTTGTAAAATGAATTTCAACACGCAATCACACGGATTTTAATCACATTGCGTATTGTTATTATTTTGATCCAATTTCACGAAAGAACGGCGTGCTCGGAATTCAATTAGTACGAATTTATTAAAAACGCGATGTAGGGATTATTATACATATTTGCTCGATAAACTCGCAACCGCTCCGTGGATACGGGCGACACACTCGAGTTAGATTCGATTCCCGCGCTGAAGAAACACACCCTCTCTCTCTCTCTCTCTCTCTCTCTCTCTCTCTCTCTCTCTCTCTCTCGGTCTCACTTACGAGTCCCTTTCGAGGATTTACGAGGGACGAGCCCGGAAGCAGTCTCGCGAAGGTGCCACGCGAAAGAGTAGGGAATAAGGATCGATGGTGCTTGCAGCAGCAGCAGCAGCAACAGCGGCAGCAGCGGCAGTAGCTGTAGCGACGCGAGGTAGGAAAATTGAGGGAGGACAGGAGTAAAACAGCGAGAAGACGAAGGGGCAGGCAGCAGGGAGGGATGAGGAGGAGGAGGAGGAGGAGGAAGAGGAGAAGGTGGGGGAGGACGAGGAGGAAGAAGGCCGGTTGTAGTCGGGTGGTAAATGGCACGGGTCGAGAGAGGGTGATGTTCACGAAGAGGAGAAAGAGGTGGAGGAGGAGGAGGTATGGTGGTGGTGGTGGTGATGGTGGTGGTGGTGGTGGTGGTGGTGGTGGTGGTGGTGGTGGTGGTGGTAGTGGTGGTGGTGGTGGTGGTGGTGGTGGTGTTAGTGGTGTTGGTGGTGGTGGTGGTAGTGGTAGTGGTGGTAGTGGAGGAGAAGGAGGGTAACCTTGACCCGGGGATGAACGACCCTCCACCCCTGGGTACGCGTGGCGATTCTCTTGCCCTGCTAGCGATGGGACTAATCCGATGACGATGTTCATTAATATCGATTTGTGTCTACACTCGAGGTGTCAATGTCAAACGGATTATTGTTCTCAACAAGATCGTTCTCGTCATCGATTAGCCGTCCTGAGTGTAAAATCCTTCGACATCAATATTGAATTTCGACGCAATAGTTATTACTTTGGATCATAAATATTAGAAAAAGATGCGCCAGTTTTGCCAAGTTTCGAAAAGTAAGGCACGAGTGCGTGGGAATGAGTGTAAAACAAAAGAAAGGAGGAAAAAGAAAATGCTCGTGAACCTAATTCCACGAAGAATCGATAGACGAGTGTCAATTTCGAGCACGAAGCTGTCAATACTATCGATACTGCTGGTCTCACTCCCATCACTACTCCGTCGTCGTCGACGACGACGCCTTCACCCCCTTCTGCGACCATTGCTTGCCCCTTCTGGCCGCCTTTTCCACCCGCCGCGCCGCGGCGCGGCGCGGCGATTCTGTCGGGATGTTCCTCTCAACCCTCTTCTACCCCTTCTCTCGATCCCTCTCTAGGAGAGCTCGCCCTCTCCTATCTCCGTCGTTCCTCGCCCTTTGACCACCGACATCCCCCACCTTTCCTTAGCCTCTTCCTCCTCCTCCTCCTCCTCCTCCTCCTCCTTCTCCTTCTCCTCGAGTGGCGACCTTTCTCTTTCGTATTCCGCTCGTCGCCGCTCATCTTCCCTCCCCAACGCACTCTCACTCTCTGCGCAAACTTATCGCGAGGAGGGCGACCCGGGCTTTCAGCCCTTTCGCTCGCTCGCTCGCCCTCTCGCTCGCGCCCTTTCGCGACTCTTTCCTCCCTCGTCCTTCGACGGGCATTGGGGGGTGGCCGTGGGATGATAGCGAGAGCGAAATTTCAAGGCCACCGTACGAGCGGCCGGCGATGGAGCGTGGAGCTGGATTCGTTATCCCGGCCGTGTTATCACTTCCTCGCTTCACGCGAAAGTGCGCGCACGCTCGGATCTCCAAGAGTGTTCGCATCACCGATTCACCCGTCTCTTCTTTTCTCCACTTTCCAGCAAATCGAACTTTCATTCTGCACTTTTTACACTTGGGCAACTTGTGCTCGCTTTGACGCATCGTCGTTACTCCAGCGACTGATATACTGCTGTACGGCTAACGCAAGTGCGCGATGGCTCCCCCCGCAAACCGGAATTTCTTTGTTATAAAAATCTCTGTTATAAAAAGATCTCTCACGTTTCTGTCGAATAATGAATGAAACTCGGGCGCGTGATGGAAGGAGAAAAGAAGATCGTACGCCCCCCCCCCCGTCACCCCGTGAATACAAGACGGAACTTTCATGCAGCTTGGTTATTTCGGTTCCTTTTGTAGCTCATCGTATACATAGCATCGCGCTAGATACCACGAGTGCTTTTAAAATGTCATCGATCCGAAATAAAAGTAAAACTGGGGCTTGCGACCCCCTTTATCACGCGAAAGCCGTCCGATCGATGGCATCGACATTCGCGTCGTACAATAACGACGAGAGCGAACCTGAGCTAACCATCCGGCAGAGTTCCAACTTATTCGATCTCAGCACGCGCGTTCATAGAAATATAGTGGCGAGAGAGTCAGATCCATCGCCGATGCAAATACATGTATATGATAATATACGCTCTCAGGAAACCGCAGAGTGAATTCATCGATTTGCAGCTGCATAACCGACAACAATTTCGTCAACGCGGCCTCAATCGCAAGGACACTCGTCCACGCGAGCCAACATTTGCCTAGTGACATTTGCGTTAGACGGCATCACGCGCTTCGAAATTCGAAACGGTTCACTCGGTTGCCGGACTTGTATGTACATCCTGAAAAAACGAGCGAAGGAAAAAGGGAATGAATGAAGGAAAGAAAGAAGAGAAGAAGAAAGAAAGAAAGGAAGGAAGGAAGCGAGAAAGGGAGAAAGAAAGAAAGGAAGGAAGGAAGAAAGGAAGCGAGAAAGGGAGAAGGAAGTAAAGGAAGAAAGGAAGAAAGAAAGAAAGAAAGAAAGGAAGGAAGAAAGGAAGAAAGGAAGGAAGGAAGGAAAGAAGGAAAGAAGGAAAGAAGGAAGGAAGGAAGGAAGGAAGGAAGGAGGAAGGAAGGAAAGAAGGAAGGAAGGAAGGAAGGAAGGAAGGAAGGAAGGAAGGAAGGAAGGAAGGAAGGAAGGAAGGAAAGAAGGAAGGAAGAAAGGAAAGGAGGAAGGTAGAAAGAAAGAAAAGAAGAAAGAAAGAAAGGAAGAAAGGAAAGAAGGAAGAAGAGAAGAAAGAAAGAAAGAAGGGAAGGATGAAAGGAAGGAGTGAACGAACGAGCGACAGGTGGGAAGCGGCGGTGACGGGATCGTTGTAGGACGCGGCTAGTCGAAAACGCGGCCGAGACGTCTCGCGATGGATTAATGAATTCGCGTCCCGCTTCTTCTCCTATTCCCGGAATAGAGTCCTTCGCAGCTGGCGGTCTCGCATCGTTCGCTACGACGATGCGAATATGAGGAGGAGGGAGCGGCTTCGCCCCCTACAGGGTAAGGGTGGGCGGAGAAAGAACGACGAAGAGAAATAGTTATGCACGACAGACAGGTCAGCGCGCGCACCGCGTTGCACCGCGCCGAAATTGCACCGAGGCCGAGGCTGACAGCCGTCCTATGCCGACGATCGGCCCCGCGCCCGCTCGGGCTACCAGGGCTTCTGTCGATAGTACAACGTCGCGAAGGTCGCGGGCAGGAAAGCTCCGCTGCGAGTTCCGGAGGCAAATTGAATCAGTCGTGAAAAGCACCAAGTTGTATCTCGCTTGAATGATTTTCGCGCTTCGAGAAAGGAATGTAAGGTCAAAGATGTCTCGTTTTCGCGGGAATATTAAACCTTTTGGTGAGAAAGGAGGGAGGGAGGGGGAGAGAGGGAGAGAGAGAGAGAGACGCGTGTGCATTAACAAAGGAGAGGAGACTTTCGCAAAACGAGGATCTTGGAATTCAAATCTCGAAATTAATCACTATGTAAAGTAAATCTTTGTCTGCTTTAGTTCGCATGTTATCGTTTCATCCATTTCCGGATTAGACCGAAATGGTCCTTACGTCCTACCTGTCAATTACTCGATACAGTCCCGTCCTCACCGTAAAGATCATAAAATTGTAAGAATATCCTTACCTGCAACAAAAGAGAATACAAATCATAAGTCTCTGTGAATGAAAACGTACGATACGTATAAACTTAACTTTGGAGAGATACATTCGATTAAAAATACCAACCAAAAAAGAAAAGAAATAATAATCGTAAGATCGATCTAACGAAAGATCACCCGACATTTTCACACCACAATATCACAATTCGTGTAGATAATTTCTGCAGATAGATTAATGTTCACACAATCAGAAATGGAGGTGGAAATCCAAAGTCGTGTCGCTTTTCTAGAATACGAACTGAAGAAGCGTACGTAATTGTTATGTACAATTGAATAACGCGATGACTAGAGATCAATATTATCAAGTCGCGATACTTCTTTTCGCGGACGATACAAGAGAGCAATGGGAAAATGTTGGCACAGAGCGTCTTTGGTTTCATCGCGCTTTAAGATACGCCGACCGTCGCGAATTCGCCGGGAAACGACCAACCAACCGACCGACCGACCGACCGACCGACCGACCAACCGAACGAACGAACGAACGAACGAACGAACGAACGAACGAACGAACGAACGAACGAAACGAACGAACGAACGAACGAACGAACGAACGAACGAACGAACGAACGAACGAACGAACGAACGAACGAACGAACGAACGAACGAACGAACGAACGAACGAACGAACGAACGAACGAACGAACGAAACGAACGAAACGAACGAACGAACGAACGAACGAACGAACGAACGAACGAACGAACGAACGAACGAACGAACGAACGAACGAACGAACGAACGAACGAACGAACGAACGAACGAACGAACGAACGAACGAACGAACGAACGAAAACGAACGAACGAACGAACGAACGAACGAACGAACGAACGAACGAACGAACGAACGAGAACGAACGAACGAACGAACGAACGAACGAACGAACGAACGAACGAACGAACGAACGAACGAACGAAACGAACGAACGAACGAACGAACGAACGAACGAACGAACGAACGAACGAACGAACGAACGAAACGAACGAACGAACGAACGAACGAACGAACGAACGAACGAACGAACGAACGAACGAACGAACGAACGAACGAACGAACGAACGAACGAACGAACGAACGAACGAACGAACGAACGAACGAACGAACGAACGAACGAAAAAACGAAAAAAAAAAAAAAAAAAAAAAAAAAACAACGAACGAACGAACGAACGAACGAACGAAACGAACGAACGAACCGAACGAACGAACGAACGAAACGAACGAACCGAACGAACGAAACGAACGAAACGAACGAACGAACGAACGAACGAACGAACGAACGAACGAACGAACGAACGAACGAACGAACGAACGAACGAACGAACGAACGAACGAACGAACGAACGAACGAACGAACGAACGAACGAACGAACGAACGAACGAACGAACGAACGAACGAACGAACGAACGAACGAGGACAAGGATCGATTCGGCGAGACTCGGAAAGTTCTCCTTCTGCCTAAAGTGATTACACACCCTGGCCAGCCGATTCGCGCCTACGAAAATTGACGGCGCGCGCGCTGATAACGAAGATAGGCCCGTCATTTCGCGTGCCATTCCGCATCCGTCTACCTTCCGCGGCTATTTTCGGGAATGGCCCAACCACCGCCGCCAACCACCACCTGCGATCGATCGAGCCCTCCCTCCCTCCCTCCCTCCCTCTCTCTCTCTCTCTCTCTCTCTCTCTCTCTCTCTCTCTCCCTCTCTCGTGCTTTCTCTCCCCCTGCTACCCTTTGTTAATGAGATTCGATCTTTGGCCGATTTAAAAGTCACGCGTGATACAATGGATCGACACAGACCGAGAAAGACCTGCGTTTATTCGCAGAGAGGGGTTTTGTTATTGTATGAAATGTGCATTTTAACAAGTGAAATTACTTTTTTAATGAGACAAATTTTTAGGCGCGCTAAAAAATGTTTCACAATATCACACATCATTTAAAGTTTTGCGGGAATAACTTTTTCTCATCACCTAATGTTTGATACAAAATTTGAATATTTATGAAAAAAATTTGACAAACTTGGAATATAGGAATGTTATATATACATATATATATATATATATATATATATATATATATATGCGCATATATCTCAGTGTATTTTGTTATAAAAAAAAGAAAGAATATTGAGTCGATGTTTCCAAGATTGTGTATATGCGACGAAAGTGACTGTGACGGCTAGCTATAAAATATGAATACTGTGTGGTGACATACATTGTTCCACACGTACGTAAAACACACACAAATATCTGTGGAAAGTGGTGTGGACAGATGAATTTGTCGCGTAAACTGTATCAGAGGGTTAATTTTCATCAGTCCAGAATTGCAAAGGGACGAGAAACGTTTGCCAATAATCAATACGGTCGAGTCAAAACTGACCAGGTCATATTTTCAAGCTTCGCGAGAACCATTGCTTATACTTATCTCATAAAATCATTCGGGAGTGCGGTAGAAAGCGATTAGTTATAAAGCGGTTCTCTATGTATCGTCGAGTCAAGTTAATAACAAATCATTCTATCCGTCGTAAAGATCACTGAGATTTTCGCTCATCGACAAAACTTTCTCGTTAGCTCTCCTCCAGCTCTTGCCGGATGCCGACATGTAACGCGTGTACAAATCGGGCATGGCCCGACGGATGGACCCGTAAGGATCTGGGTTTAGAGGTGAGCATCGAGATCGCGACTAGATCGATGAGAAGAGTCCTCTTATACCCGCTATCGCCGAGGATATCGGCGAGTCCGGGTATTCGTCCGGTCGAAGCTCCCACATTTTCCTGATTTGCGCACATGTAAATGATGAATGGCGGCCGATGACACAGATACGGAATCTGGCACGGTTGGGTTAATAATGAGCCGAGGTCGTTATCGGAAATATCGCAGACGGTATTTTCACGGATTTATTCGAGCGAGCAAAAACTCCGCGTCGCGCCGCGCCGCGCCGCGCCGCGCCGAGGATCCATTGCAACTCGATATCCACACGTCGAAAAAATGCGGTATACTTTACTTTAAATCACGACTTGCTTGCCGACGATACGCGCTCGTCGCGCAGGAAGTATATCGAGCTAATTAAAACGTGAGAGTCAAAGATCCAAGCAGGTTTTCATCCACGCGACGGAAATTAAAATCGACGAGAGTCACGATGTGATCCTTGGCGAATTTTCATCTTTCTCTCTCACCAAAGATATCTCGGAACGCATGTAATCGTGTCTCATCCGTGTTCATCTTCATCAGAACCGGCGTATTGACGTAGGTTAATTAGCAGTGTCGAAATTACACCGGCTTCAAGTGCTGATCAGAAATGCATAAACAGCGTTCTTCTTCGTCCCAAGTGCCATCGATAGGATTACCGCGACGAGCCTTGGACGAAGCTCGTTTACTTAGAGTACTCGGGATAATTACATCTTAACTTACGGCGTGATTGTAGCCCGAAGGAAAGAAGGTCTACCGCGAGAGAGGCGGCAAGTCCTTTTCGCGCAGCTTCCTTGTCGTAACGATCGACAAATCTCCCGCGGATTCGATCAGTTCTAGCCGCGAATACTCGTCGTGTGATATTCGACGAAGACGTGGATGCGAATGGTCCAAATTCTCCGGTAGGCTTCGGTAGTGAATCGAGATACAAAGGTCATGTTTCGGAGGCCACCGACGACCACCAATATACATATATATACATATATATATATATATATATCGACACCGTTAACTTATGACCAAATAAAAAAATAAGGGCGAAGGTAGGATGTCCAAACAGCGAGCTAGGGAGAGAGAGAGAGAGAGAGAGAGAGAGAGAGAGAGAGAGAGAGAGAGAGAGAGAGAGAGACGATAAATGAGGGTAACAAAGTTAAAGATAGACAGAGAAATATAGCAAATTTTTCTAGCGTAACGTCTCGAGGAATCCTCGAGAAGAGAGAGTGATGCCCACGTGTCTCGGGAGGTGACATAGCAAAAGTTGAATAAAATTCGATAAAAGTACAATCTAAACTACATCTATAAGTATAATCGTGATATACAATTAAGGTTAAGATGAAATCGTGAGATGAGGATGAAGCAAAGAAATATTCTTAAATCAAAGGAAATTTTTAACCAGTACGACATCTATCTAAAATTATATCTAAATAAGGAAAAAAGCTTTGACTGAAAATTATACGCGAAATAGCGCATTTGTGCGTGCGTGCGTGCGTGGGTGGGTGTGTGTCGGATAGTGTGTGCGCGCACGCGTGTATGTGCGTGTGTGTGTGCGCGCGCGCGCGTGCGTATGTGGAAAAAAGAGAGACAAACGAAGGCATCGTAATAGTAGAGTCCGAAACGAGAAAAAGAAGGAAGGAGCGAGAGAGAGAGAGAGAGAGAGAGAGAGAGAGAGAGAGAGAGAGAGAGAGAGAGAGAGAGAGAGAGAGAGAGAGAGCAAGGCCCTTCCCTTCCGTCCTCTCCAGCTCCACCTTCTCCACTGCGTCGTTTTCCTGCTTCTCTTCTCCGCCCTTCCCTTCACTTGCGTCCCTTCCTTCCCACAGGCGGAAAGTAATCAATACTTCGAGAAGGTGCGCGAATAAAGCACACACGCCTGTGGGTCGCGGCGTCGCCGCGGCACTTTGTACGAATTTAACTGCGCGAGCCGGCTCTTCTCTCCTCACGGACTCTTGTACGTGAAACGGAGAAGAGACCTTCCGTGGCAGGCCCTTCCAAAGGACGGCGGGACGAGAGAAAAAGAGAAAGGGAGAAACTGTCGTCCTTCCCGTCGTTTTTTCGACAAGAAGGCACGTGGCAGTGGATTAGCTCGACGAAGATACCGCCTGGAATTCGCGAATATGAAAAGAAAAACGGTAGGCGATAAGATCTCTTGAGGTATTCTTGATCAAAAATCAAGCGGCGACATATACTAACAAAGTACCGAAAGTTTCACATCTTTTATTCCATACTTCAGCTTTTATCATATATTTTTACTATATTTGTCGCAACACGTACACCACTTTCAAGCACGTTT